TTGAAGCTAAGCACTAGCAGTGTCTCTGCAGAGTGTGCTAACGTCCTCTTGCTATGCGGTAATAATGGCAGTGTTTACAGAGGAGGACACAGAAGGATGGGAGGTCATGCTGCCGCCTCTTAGAGCCCAGTAGCTTTGGGGCACCTTGTGTCAGTAGAAGAACTTGAACAAAACCCAGATCTGAGCTACTAATCCTTAATGACAGATCAGGTAGTGGAGAGCAGCATTGTTGTTTGAACAAGAATTACTCCATATCCTCAGTATCTCCTCAGTGCTTGGGTGGGATCTGTCTTGTTCTAGCAGATTGACCTCTGCTTTTTTAGGACACTGCTGATGCTTTGAGTACTAAAGTGGGCTCGGACACAAAGATAGAGACAGGAATTTTCAGTCATCAAAAGCTTCTAAAAGTGTTGGTTTGTATTTGGTTGAACAGAATAATTTGTTGACTTTTATGAGCTGGAAAAGAAAAACTATTTAATTTTCTTGCTGTCTGCCAAGAAAATTAAACAGACTTCAAAGCTTTGCACTGATAGCTAATGGCATTGATGCAAGCTGTTGTTTTAATTAATACAGCTGGCTGATTCTTCAGCCCAATCAGCTACAACTGTGAAGTTCTAAAATGAGGTAACAAAACCCATGGCACTGCACAGTTCATGCCTCTCTCGAGAAAATAGTTCATTACTCTGACAGGCACTATTGCTTGGGGAGCTCTCGTCCCATCTTGAAATATACCTGGAGTTTGTAGTTCTTCATTTAAATAGACTCTTTTAGTGATTTAGCACAGGCAGAGGAGGGGAGCTGCTAGCACTTTGTTAACTTTGATAAACACATAATTTGAGATTGAATCCCCGGTTGTAAAGTTATATGAGAGAGTACAGCCATACAAACACCATAGAGCCATTATCTCCAGGCTTGAAATAAATCAGATTGAGTCTAAAATGATGGTGATGGTGTGCTGGCTAGTTTTATGTCAACTTGACACAAGCTAGAATCATCACAGAAGAGGGAGCCTCGATTGAGAAGTGTCTCCATAAGACTGGGCTGTGGGCAAGCCTTTAGGGCATTTTCTTAATTAATGATTGATGTGGGAGGGCCCAGCCCCTTGTGGGTGGTGCCATGTCTGGACAGGCGACCCTGGGTTTATAAGAAAGCAGGCCAGTAAGCAGCACCCCTCCATGGCCTCTGCATCAGGTCCTGCTTCCAGGTTCCTGCCCTGTTTGAGTTCCTGTCCTGACTTCCTTTGATGAACTGTGATGTGGAAGTGAAGCCAAATAAACCCTTTCCTCCTCAGGTTGCTTTGGTCATGGTGTTTCATCTCAGCAACAGAAACTCAAACTAGAACAGGTAGTTAAGGATTTTTTTTCTAATCGAAGTTGACACTGCAGCTCATGGCAGTGGTGCTTATATTGTTTGACTAGTCCTTTTCATTGGAGTATTGCCTCTGTCAGTCACCATCAGAAGGCTCATGGAGATTACCAAGCTGGTAAATTTGCTGTAGGATAGTCTTTTCTTTCTCTTACTGAAGATTGAAACAATAAATGAACAAGGTTTTCTGCTCCTTGGGGGGAAAAAAACCAGTTATGATTGAAGATATTTACTTTAATAAGACATATGGTATCTGCTTCATGTTTACTGTGATGGATCCTGTTATGGTCCTTTCTTAAGTATTTGTATAACCCTTGACTAAGACAACTTATAGAAGGAAGAGTTTGTTGGAATTTACAGTTCCAGAGGGCTGAGTCCATCACCATGGCAGGGAGGCATGGCATCAGGAAGGCATGTCTGGAGCAGCAAGCTGAGAGAGCAAACTTGGAATGACACATGGCTTTTGAAACCTCAAAGCCGCCTACCCCAGTGACATACTTTCCCCCACCTGTTGCACGAATCCTAAATGGTCTTAATAAAAACCTGGAGCCGCTTTCAGGGTGAAAGCTGAAAAATCAGAGAAGCAGAGCAAGCCGCAGCCACCACCTCTTACCTCCCCAACTCCTCAGCCTAAAAGAGAGTGAGTTCCTGTCTCCTCCTGCCTTATATTCCTTTCTCTGCCTAGCCATATCACTTCCTGTCTCAACCATCCTAGTGCTGGAATTAAAGGTGTGTGATTCCAAGGGCTGGGATTAAAGGTGTGCATCACCACTACCTGGCTCTGTCTTTCAGACTAGATTAATCTTGTGTAGCCTTGAACTCACAGAAGTCCATATGAATCTGCCTCCTGAGTGCTAGGATTAAAGGTGTGTGTCACCACTGCCTTGCCTCTATGTTTAAGCTGGTGGCTGGCTCTGTCCTCTGATTTTCAGGCAGTGTTTGTTATTTGATAGAACAAAATATCACCACACACACACACACACACACACCTGAATCTATCCCAACAGTTCACCAACTGGTGACAAAGTATTAAAACATCTAAGTCTTATTTTGGTTTTTGAGATAGGGTTTCTCTGCATAGCCCTGCCTGTCCTAGAACTCACTGTGTAAACTAGGCTAGCCTTGAACTCACGGAGATCTGTCTGCCTCTGCCACCTGAGTGCTGGGATTTAAGGTGTGCACAACCAAGCCCAGCTCTAAGAATTCTTGACATGGCTGCATGTGTAAGGAAAATGTCGGGACCGTTTTCAGCACAGCTGTCTGAAGGGCTCCATTGCATTCCTGAGGTAAAGCCAGGGAGGTGGCAGTGCTCAATTCTCTCGTGTCTTGTTTGAAACAAAAAAGTATGTGACGTTTACTGTCAGACTAAATAACCCTTTATATTGAAACACAGAAGCAGCCCGGAGTAGTGATGCTCACCTTTAATCCCAGCACTCAGGAGGCAGAGGCTGTGAGTTCCCAGCCTGGTCTACATAGTGAGTTCTGGGATAGCCAGAGCTACATAATGAGACCCTATCTTGTGTCGGGGAGGGGGATGGATGGGGGGGCAACACTGAAGCTTTGTGAAGCACTATTTCCTGTTCTTTTTACTTTGTTATGTACCTTTACCAACTGGCTTTAGACCTGATTATGGTTCTTGTTTTCTGCATAGTGGCAGGGTTTTGCTCATTTAAACAGCTGTGTGACTACTGTCTTTGTGAGATGAGTTGCACAGGATGGACTGTGTGTTATCATTGAATGTTTGGAGAGTGCAGCTCTCCCGTCCCCCTCTCATTAACTAGCTAGACAGCGTGGTCTCGGATCAATATTTCTCATCCTTGTTCTTTGATTTTCAATCTGTATGCCAAGGGAGGATGCTTCCTTACACTTTCATACAGTCTTACACTCAGACTGGTTTTGATAACTCTGGCATCTGCTTTCTAAAGCACAATCCTCCTGTCCCAGCCCCCACAGTAAGTATGGGTTATACCACCACATCTGCCTTCTCTGCACCTCCTCTTTCTCCTTTTTTTTCCTTTGTGAGAATTTCATATGAGTTACATCATGCCCCCTCCTCCCTCAAACTCCTCTTATGTCCCATGTGAACATTCTGGTGTTTGTTTTTTTGGTTTTTCGAACAGGGTTTCTTTGTGTAGCCCTGGCTGTCCTGGAACTCGCTCTGTAGCCCAAGCTGGTCTCAGACTCACAGAGATCTGCCTGCCTCTGCCTCCCAAGTGCTGGGATTAAAGGTGTGTGCCACCACTGCCCAGCCATAAACATTCTTTTCTATGGGTGTTTTGCCTGCACCTGTATATGTCTGTGACCACATGTGTGCCTGCTGCCTACAGAGACTGGAAAAGGACATCAATCAGATCATCTTGGAACTGGAGTTGCAGATGGTTGTTGATTATCCATGTGGGTGCTGGGAATCAAACCCAGGTCCTCTGCTCCTAACCAGCCCATGAGCATTCTTGTACAGGTTTTTTCAGTTCTCTTTGGTAACTCCCGAAAAAGGGTACGCATGTTTTTAACTAACAAAAATCAGCTATTTATAAAAACAAACAAATGGACTGGGGATATGGCTCATCTGGTAGCGTGCCTACCTAGAATACATGAAGCCCTCAGCTTGGTCCCCAGCATAAAGCCAGATCCACTGTGTGGATCTCACGCCTGTAATCTCAGTACTCAGGAGATAGAGGCAAGAGGAACATAAATTCAAGATCATGGTTTTTTTTTTTTTTTATCTAAATCTTAATTGTTCAGTTTCACCAGTGAAGACTCAGGAGCCAGCTGCTGGGGTGAAAACCTGCTAGTTGAGAGCCAGAGAAAGCTGACCTTCCTCCTACGCTGTCTCAAACAAAAACTCAAACTAAATGTCCTTCCCTTCTCCTTCCTGTGCATCTCTCTATCCATGCTCCTGACTCCCTCTTACTCTGTCTTTTTTTTTTCCTGTCAACTGGTTGCTTGCTCTGCCTCTTATATGATTGACTTTATTTAATCCTATTTACAATATTCTAGCAGAAAGCTCTTAGATTAAAGATGTGTGCTAGGGCTAAGCCACACCACAACCAGAAACAGATTTTTCCAGTAAAGAACACAATCTTGGGGTTCATGGTGTGATCAAATATCCTGCAACAAGGTCATCTTTAACTACATTATCAAGTTTGAGGTCAGCCTAGGCTACACAAAACCCTGACTCTCAAGAAACAAAGAAGTCATGATCTTGTTGCGTTTCCCAGGTTGTCTCAAACTTCTGGGCCCAAGCAGTCTTCCTCCATCAGCCTCCTCAGAAGCCAGTGTGCCTGACTTCTCATCTTTTAACTGGTACTTTTCATGCTTACTGGCCGTTGTGGCTGTTGGTTTCATGAATAGAAAATGTTCCCCATTTATCAGTCAGTCTTTCTAAAACAGCAGTTCTCACCTGTGAGTTGTGACCCCTTGGGGAGGGTTGAATGACCTTTCACAGGGGATGCCTAAGACCATTGGAAAAGACAGATATTTCCATTACAATTCCTAGCAGGAGCAAAGTTATACTTTGAAACAGCAACAAAAATAATCTTATGGTTGGGGTCCCCACACCATGAGGAACTGTACTAAAGGGTGGCAGCGTCAGGAAGGTGGAGACGCTCTAACGGTTTCTTCTGCTGTCTTTCCAGGACCGACTGAAGCTGGTGACGGTGCTGGGTGCTGGGCTGCTCTGTGGAACTGCACTGGCGGTTATCGTGCCTGAAGGGGTGCACGCACTGTATGAGGAGGTTCTGGAGGGTGAGCGCCCAACGCCTTGCTTGAGAAATGTTGGTAGAGGAATAGTGGATTTCTTCTGGGCACAGTTCATGTTTGTCCCAAATAGGGTGTGTAAGAGATCTCTTTAGACACCTTAGACATGGAACCCATCCTTAGCAGTCTTCTGAATGCCATAATTCATGAAGACTACTTAATAATCATTTGCAACAATGAGTGATTTGAGCCTTTTTTTAAGTATAAGTTCTTATTTTGTGTGTGTGATGCATGCACATGAATGTGTTTGTGTGCATGTGAGGTACATGTTAATATTTGTACACATGAGTATGGAAGCTAGAGGTTGATGTCAGGCCTCTTCCTCTTTTCTCTCTCTACCTTTTCTTTCTTTTTTTTTCCCTTTTTGGTTTTTTGTTTTGGTTTGGTTTGGTTTGGTTTTTTGAGACAGAGTTTCTCTGTGTAGCTTTGGAGTCTTTCCTAGAATTCACTCTGTAGCCCAGGCTGGCCTTGAACTCACAGAGATCCGCCTGGCTCTGCCTCCCAAGTGCTGGGATTAAAGGCTTGCGCCACCACTGCCCAGCTTACCTTTTCTTTTTAATATTGTGTTTAATTATAATTTGATATGGGGGCGGGTAAACACATCCTATGGTGCGTGTGTGGAAGTTGAAGGACAGTTTGTGGGGGTCAGTTCCCCTCTTCTACCATGTGGGTCCTTGGGATTGAATCAGGCTTGCTTACAATCATCTTTGCCCACTCAGCCATCTCATCATATCCTCAACCTTGGTTTTTGAGACAAGGTCTCTGACTAAACCTGGAGCTCACTAATTGGACTAGACTGGGTGGTAAAGAGCTGCAGGGGTCCTCCTGTGCCTGCCCCTCAGTGCTAGAAAAACAGGTACACACCACCATGCCTGGCTTCTTACATAGGTACTGGATATTTGAGCTCAGAGAGTTGGGACATGTTCCCTGGTTGTCCATATTCTGGTAGAGTTTATTGGTGGGTTCACCGTCTGGGCTTGGTGTCTTCATGCTGGAAGGTGTTGATATTAGTAACTTTTCTCACTGCTGTGACCACATTCCTGAGGAGAACCAGCCTGATGGGAGAGAGGTGTTTTGGCTCACAGTGTGAGGGATCGTGTCCATCATGGCAGGAAAAGCTGGCTGCAGGAGTGACTCGCAGCTGTGGTGGCAGGAGTGTGCAGTGGCTGGTACACTGCATTGGCTGTTAGGAAGTGGGGAGAGGTAGGGGAGAGACTGGCTCAGGCGGGGCTGTGTGACCCTTTAACCAGCAAGCCCTTCTTCCATCCAGTGAGGAGTAGAGGGACAAACTGTCTTCCAGCCATCACATCCCGCCCCGGCCCTCATAGGTTCACGGTCATCTCATAAAATACATTCAATACTTGACTTCCAAAGTCCCCAGACTCTTGCAGTTCCAAAACTGTTGAAAAGACCAGAGTTTCCTCTGAGACTCAAGGCAGTCCCTTCACTGTGAGCCCCTGCAAAGTAAGAAACAAGTTACTTCTCTCCTAGTATACAGGGTTGGAAGATATGTGGAGCAGTGGTTCTCAACGTGGGAGTTGAACGACCCTTTCACAGGGGTTGCATATCAGATCTCCTCCTCCTCCTCCTCCTCCTCCTCCTCCTCCTCCTCCTCCTCAGATGTTTACATTATGATTCATAGCAGTAGCAAAACTACAGTTATGAAGTAGCAATGAAATTAATTTTATGGATGGGGTCAGCACATGAGGAGGAACTAACTGTATCGGAGGGTTACAGCATTAGGAAGGTGTTTTAGTTAGGGTTTCAGGTGCCGTGCTGCAGCTTTCAGCAGAAGATGGCTTGTGTTGTGTCCCCAGTACCTGTGACACCATGTTGCAACTTAGGCTTTCAGAGCTTCCTGTACAGCCCACTCAGGGAATCGGGTCTTGTCTCACATTGCTTGGGCTTAGAGGATTTCTGGAACCTTGGTACAAATCTTGATCAAATAAAATAAATATTAAAAAATTAGAGCCAGTTATGGTTGTATGTATGTGTAACCCTTGTGTTAGAGGGTAGTGTATAGGTAACTGATCCTGGGAGCTTGCCAGCCAGTCATTGTAGCCAAAACGGCAAGCTCCAAGCTCAGTGAGAGACCCTGACTCCAAACATAAGATGGTGGGCCATCAGGGTGACTCAGTAAATAAGGGCACTTGCTGTCAAGCCTGATGGTCTCGTGAGTTTGATCCCCAGAACTCACGTGGTGGAGGGAGAGAACTGACTCCCTCAAGTTATCCTCTGACCTCCACACGTGCATTGTGGCACACATGCATTAATGCCCCTTCCCATACAAATAAATGCAGAAAATACAGTGGAAAGCCATAGAGGAAGATGTCTGCCTCTGGCTTCCACATGCATACACACAGTTGAGCACATGCGTATATAACCCATGCACATACATGCAAAGATTTTTGGCCTTTTGTTATAGGAGTAACCAGTCATTTTTGGTTGGCTTTAAGACCTACTGCGGGAGATGAAACCTATACTTGACACTACTAGAGTGCCCAAGAACCTGAGACTGACTAGATAGGTCATGAACCTGGGGAAAACTACTACTACTATTCTGCTAAAGGATCGTAGCAGGAAAATGACTTGTAGAGCTAAGACATGCCTCAGTGTAGTCTAGCTGCATGGCTTGCAATCTCCATTATACTGACATTTAAGGGTTCTTTGGTCTGCTTGTTTTTTCCCCTTTTCCTTTATATTTTCTCAAAACACAGAAAAACAGCAGATTTGTTCCTGGAATAAACCTGTTTCTCTTTTACAACAACCAGGAGAATAAAATTACACATTATAATTAAAAAATAAAATAAATGGACTTGTAATGATATGTTGCTATACTGGTGGTGGAGAGCATGGCCGAGCCTCATCAGGGAAGCTTGTTGCAGTAAGTAGAAATTACAGAGAGATTCACAGCTGGACAGTGTGCAGGAGCGAGAGGCTGTGGATCACTCAGTCCTCAAAGGGATGTCTTCTTCATCCAAGTCGTCCCTCGGGATCTTTGCAGAAGAGGAGGCAGACAGACTGTGGGAGCCAGAGGTGATAGACGGCTCCAGGGAAGCCCCATCTTCCAGACACAGCAGGACTGATGCACATGTGAACTCATGTGTGAACTCACAGAGGTCTGACACAAGGCCTGCACAGTGGCAGACTAGACAGACCCCACTGCTGGAAATGGGAGGTGGACACAGAGTCCCACCTCTGCCCCAGCCAGGAAGTTACTTGTGACTGAAACCTGCCAGGACAGGACAATTCATTCTCTCCAGTGGAAACTTAGTGTATCAACCACTCTCCAGGGCGGGTCCCATCCCCAGGAGTAGCTGACTGACAGAACATAGACACTAGGTTTTGTGTGTGTGCTTTTTGTTTCATTTGGGTATTTTTTTATCTTGTTGATTTTCTTTTCTTTTAGTCTGTTTCGATTGTTGGGTTTTTTTGTTTTTGTTTATCTTTGTTTTGTTTAGAGAGAGAGAATATAAAGTTGGGTGAGTAGGGAAGAGGGGAGGGAGGACCTGGGAGGAGTTGCAAGAGGGAAAGAATGTAATCAAAATATATTATATAAATTTTTTTAAAAAATAAAAAACATTTGGTCTTTAAGTATTTATGTTTGAAATGTCAAACACGTGACTATAAGCTAGAAATATCCTTTGGTTGTTTGTGTCTTAACTACCTTGATGATCTAGAAGACTATGCCTCTTCAATGGCGTGTGTGTGTGTGTGTGTGTGTGTGTGTGTGTGTGTGTGAGTGTGATCACTAATATTTTATAAGAACTAAATGTTTTCAATCCTGTTTGCTTTTTATTTGCAAATTTTGTATCAGCCTCGGTGTAAAAGTGTGTTGTGTGACTTGGACTGCAGTTGCTTTCATTGCCAAGTCCTGCCCTCACCTGATTTCAGAGTGAAGCCCCGTGTGCTTTCTGGGGAGACTGGAGAGAACTTCTTAGATGAAAAAGGAAGATTTAAGTTTGGGGCCCTTGGAAATGTGACTGCATTCTTGCACGGCGATTTGCTTCCCTGTCCAGGATTTTGAGTTGGTAGGCAGTCCGAAGGAAGGTCTGCATGCCCAAAGCAGAAGGCACTGGGGAATGTTTTTTTTACAGCCTTTTAACTTCACGAGTTTATGGTTGCCTCAGTTTCAGTATAGGAATTAGGTGTCTTTGCAGGAAATTAAGTAGCACTTAAAACACAAATGGAAGCTGTTACATTTTGTGGTTTGTTTGCTCCAGGAAAACACCACCAAGCCAGTGAAACCAAGCAGAATGTGATTGCGTCAGACAAAGCAGCAGAAATGTCAGTTGTCCGGGAACATGAGCACAGCCACGACCACACACAGCTGCACGCCTACATAGGTGTGTCCCTTGTCCTGGGCTTCGTGTTCATGTTGCTAGTGGACCAGATTGGCAGCTCCCATGTGCATTCCACTGACGGTGAGTAGCTCTCTGGGCTGTGCAGGCACTTTTCAGTGTGGAAATTTACAAACTGAATGGTTCGGTCTACACCAATGGCCTTACTTAATGCCAAACTTAATGTTTTCCTCAGGTGTTGTGGGCATTTTATTCAGTTGGGGGAGCTAGTGAGTCGTGGCACGGCACAGCTGTTTATTGATATACCAACCCTGCTGGACTGAACGCAGTCTATTTGGGTGAGAGTCTAGGGTAGAAGTCCTTAATCTGTTTTGTGCCGGGAACCCTTAGGCAGTCTAAAGCCTGTGGCCCCCGTACTGGAATGTTGGTCTTTATAAACTTAGAACTACAGAGAATTCAAGGCTATCCTCATCTGCATATCGCCAGGAGATAGCACACACAGTGATACACTATCTAAAAGCTAGCCATTCAACAAACAAAGACCCCAAACCAAGCAAGCAAGCAAAAAACTTGATAGTAAGTAAATTCTGATCTGCTTATTAGATATAGGGAGGAAAGAAGTAAACAAGGAAGTCCAACAGTGCTTTGACCAAGATCAGGGTTGCCAACATTCTGCTTTCGGTGTAGCTCAGAGAGCTATCAGACCGACTTCTTTGCAGCTAACTATAAACTATAAACCTTGCAGAAAACTATAAACTATAAACTGGATGAAATGTTAAAACTACCATCTGAAGACAGCAGAGAGTCAGTCACTAAGAGCAAGTAACATTCTGCCGAGCATAACGTCTGGAACAGAAATACCTATTTTTACAGGTGTTGGTAATCAGTGTCCTTGGGGGCAACTAGAATTGTGATGAAAACTCAGTCTTCCCAAGTGTTATTAGTGTCTGTAATCCTCGCTCTTGGGAAGTGAGGTCAGGAGGATCAAGGCCTGCTTCCATTACATAGCAAATTTGAAGCCAGCCTGGTCTACTTGAAACTTTGTTTCAGAAAGCCCCCAGTGTTTCTGGAACAGACCTCAGGACAAACAGAGCCCTAAAAAGAAGGGAGAATTCTAGTGTTGTGGGGTATCCACCAGAGAAGACTTCTCAGACATGGGGTTAAGCCAACAGGAAGTCTTTATCAGCCAGAGGGTGACTACACTGGGTGTTCTGGACCCCAGGGTAGTCCAAGCCTTTTTCAGGGTGAGCTTTTAAGCACAAAAACATGTCCTAGGTTGGCACACCTCGGTTAGCAAAAACGGTTAGCTAGAATCAGAACTGCAGAAGCCAAAAAGCAAGGTTAGAACATTTAGAGACTTTCCCAGAACTATGGACTTGGATGGATTAGGATTTTGTTCTTGTTTTGGTAGGTGTTGCTGCCTGTGTGCTGGGTTCCGAGGGCATTTCTCTCTATGGTGTCAGTTGTGTCAAGGTCTGGGTGCCTGTTACACTAGACTCAGCCCCAAGTTCTGTGAGTAAGCTGTTCAGGTGTCTGGCTGCCTCCCTAGCCGTGCTTGTTTGGGCAGACTCCAGGCAATTAAGTGAAACAATTAAACTGAGCTGTCCAAAAAAAGAGTTACAGTTTGAACCAAACTAAGTTACTTAAAGCAAAACAAGTTCTGTAGAAAAATATAACAGAATCCAGAGCATTCATGAGGTGGTACCACTAACAGTGTCTGGGTTATGATGCAGCACAGAAGCACCTGTGGTCAGCAGAGGTGCAGCCTCTGAAAGGGAGGGTTATTCTGTAAAAAGCAAAGGATACAAGGAGGTGATTGTATTCTCCAAAACGGTCAGTCTGGGCTGAGTACAGTATGTGATGCTACAATTGCTCTGATGGACATTTTCAGAAAACTGACATGATCTGAATATGCAACAGAAATCAGAAAAATAGTGTTAAATTTGCTGAAGTTGATATCCTTTTTGATTATATATTTTCCCTAAGGCAATACATATTGAAGTCTAGAGATAAGCAGTTAGGATGTGTACAACTTATTCTTAAGTGGTCAAAATTGGTATATAGAAAGTATAAGTGGTGAAGCGAGTGATTCAGAATGTTTAGATGGTTAGTCAGGCAGAGACAGAGGCATGTGAGTATTTTCTGTGAGCTATTGGTGCAGCTTTTCTCGAGGTTAAAAACTATTTTCAAATAAAAGTTTTAATCATGGAATGGATGATTGAACAAAGCAGACTACTTGGACATGGATTGTAGCTCTGCTACTGAGGATGTAGCTCTGTGGTTGTACATGGCATGGCTTAGCATGAAAGCTTTAATCCCAGACATTAAGGAGAAAAAGATATGGTACTCAGCAGATTGAATAGGCAAGTATGGTGGCATACGATGTGATCAGGGCTCTCAGGAGGCGCAGGCTGGAGATGGGAGTTTGTAAGGACCAGCCCTGGCTACACAGTGGCACATGACACACTGTCAAGACTAAACTGAGATCAGCAGAGGCTTTCCATCCACTGTGAAGTCCCATGAGTCCTGGGCTAGCCTCAGACTCTTTATACAGCCATTGATGACCTTTAATCACTGATCTTCCTGCCTCTACCTCCCAAGTGCTGATGTGCCACTATGTCCATACTGTACCTTTAAAAAAAAAAAAATCTCCCCATCCCTGTCAGGGGGGCAGAAGCTGGCTGATCTCTGTGGGTTCAGGGCCAGACTGACCTACATAGTGAGTTCCAGGAAGGTCAGGACTACATAATAAGACAAACAAAGAAAACCCAACACTTTTATTTTGTTTTGTTTTTGCCAGGGCTGGAGAACTAGATCCCTAGTGCCCAGGTAAAAGCCAGACCTACTGCACACATCTGTACCCTCAGTGCTGGGGCAGGGGTCAGGGGAGCCCTAAGGAGCTCACTGCTTGGCCAGCCAGCCTAGGTGAATCAATGAACAGTTCAGTGAAAGACTCTGCCACAGTGAAACAAAGCCAAGTATAGAAGGATTGAGGAAAGATGCCATCAACTCCCGTGGGGTACTTAACATGGACTCACGTTAGCCAGTCATGAGTCTATCCTGTAATATTTGGGAACTAAAGAGTTAAAACTTTAGCCGGGTGGTGGTGGTGCAGGAGGCAGGTGATTTCTGCGATTGAGGACAGCCAGGGCTACACAGAGAAACCCTGTCTTAAAAAACTCTTTAAAAAAAAAGAGTTAAAACTTTTAAAATATGGCCTGAGAGCTATAAATTCATTGACAGAGTGCTTGCCTGGTACATACAAGATCTGTCCATGATCCTCAACACTGAGAAATCAGAATTTTTAAAAAATACTTTGTTCTTATTTTATGTGTGTGGGCATTTTGTCTGCTGGAATGTCTGTGCAGCACATTCATGTAGTGCCCACAGAGGCAGGAAGAGGGTGTCAGATCCTCTGGAACTGGAGTACAGACAGTTGTCAGCTGCTGTGTTGATGCTCAGAACTGAACCCAGGTCCTCTGGAAGAGCAGCCAGTGCTCTTAACTGCTGAGCCATCTCTATAACCTCCTGCACTCCCCAAAATAAGAAAAGAACTTTAAATAAATTATATAGGACCGATAGTGCCCTGTGATCCTGCACCCAGAATTAAGTTAGCATGTATTCATTCTGCCTCCTGTTTTTCCCCCAAGATCACTGTTTTTGCTGGCTTCAGATGTGTGTATCTTTGATTTTTCAGTTTTTGTTTTTTTGGAGACCTCTTTATGTAACCCAGGCTGGCCTCAAACACACAACCCTTCTGCCTTCGTTTCCCAAGTGCTAGGATTACAGGAATGTACCACCATACACAGCTCTGGTCTTGTGTATTACTAAATGTCAGTAAAAGTTAATTCACTTATCAACATAGTGCTCAATTGTGATCTCTTCCTGTAGATTTATAACAACTATTGTTTTCTTGCTTGATTTAAAAAAGTAAAAGAATTATGTGTTTGTGTGTGTGTGTGTGTTTGTGTGTATGCTCACGCACATAAGGGTCCCCACATAGGCCAGAGGTGTCACATCCCGCTGGAGCTGGTCACAGGTGGTGATGAGTAGCCAGATGGGATTGCTGCAAGTAGAGCTCCGTTGGTCCTCTGCAAGAGCAGTAGGTGCTCTTAACTGCTGAGCCATCTCTGGCCCCAGAATACTGTTGGGAACCCCTAATGTTTTAAATAATATTTTTACTAATTCTTTGATAATTTCGAAAAATGTATTTTGATTATAGCTAGGACCTTTTCTCGATGGATATGGTCTAGGATTCAATTTAGAACAATGTCTAGGTTTTGGGTCAATAATCTGGGAAGGTAAATACTTGCCCAGAACTAGAGGTGAGGAGATTTAGGGAAAGGAGGGTGAGAATGATGTTAGAAAGTGCTAGAGAAACTGTGCTAATTGGTCTGGATATTAAGAAATACTGTGGAACCAACTGATACATAGCTTAAGAACCTCCTCAAGCCAGTTGTGGTAGTGCGGACCTGTAACCAGAGGCTGAGCCAGGGAAGTCTGCATGGTCTTCAGAGTGAGTTCAAGGCCAGTCTGGCACTTAGTGGAACTCTTATCTCAAAATTTAAAAAAAAAAAAAAAAAAAAAACAGTCAAAAGGGGACTGGGGATTATAGCTCAGTGGAAGAGTGTTCAAATTCGTGGACAGGGCCCTACCTGGGTTCAGTCCTCAGCACTGAAGGGAAAATCTGCCTACCTGTGGTGGCGGCTGACCTGAGCTGGCCGACAGCACAGACGACGGGTAGTGTCTTACAGATGCCTTGTGTGACTGGCTGAGGTGAGTCGGGAGAGTAAGAAAAGCAGTAGGCAACTGTAGTGAATAACCTGGGTTTAAATTGGCGAAAACACGTTAGTTAGGGTGGTAGCTGCAGAATGGAGATGGGATGAGAACAGAGTTGCAGGGGGTCGGATGAGCCTGCAAAGAAGTAACCAGAGGCCGTAGAGCACTTTCTGCAGACTGTGAGCAAGTTCAGGCAGTTGGGGGTAATACACTGCAGGAATTCATCCAGGAAGCCTGAGTCAAGAGTTCCCTCACAGCCACCTTCTTAGTACAAGAAGAACATCGAAGTATTTGAAGTAGAAAGAAAAAACAGTCTACATCCAAGTTTGGAACCTGAGCTTTCAAAATACTCATCCAGCTAGATGTGGTCTTTTACATCCTTAATCCCAGTGCTCAGGAAGTTGAGGCAGAGGGACTTTGAGTTCAAGGCCAACCAGGGCCACACAGTGAGACTCCCGCTCTAAAGTAACAATGATAAAAACAAGTGGACCGTCTCCAGACAGATGTTTCTATTGCTTTATGTCATACTACTTAGTGATCCTTTCTCATTCTCATGTAGATCCAGAAACAGCAAGGCCTAGCAGTTCCAAAATCACCACCACGCTGGGGCTGGTCGTCCATGCTGCAGGTAAGTCAGGATTGCAATAAGCTGCTCCACACTAAATGCTCTTCGGGGAGGTTGCTGAACAAAGCCCTCTAGCTTGAGCACAGCCCTGTTATGTCTGCGTTGAGTTTATCAGCTAAGAACAATTTCTATATTTTTAATACCTAAACACAAAGTATAAGATGGGCATGGGGAAAAAAAAAAAAAA